TACATTTATTCAATTCTGTTAGTTTTCTTATTAATTCAAAAAGTACTGTAGTAGTGTATAAGAGATTGTTGTTTTAATTTTCCCTGCTTCTGATCCTTAAGATCAGAAGTGGAATAGTGAAACTCCCATGTCCTTGTTTGTACATCCTGATACGATGTGTTTCCATTGTTATTTCTTTAATTGGCTAGTCATACGATCAGAAATATATTTTTGGAAATTGTAACTATCTTTGTTTAAAAGGACAAACTAACCCTTAGTTTTCAGTGTTTCGTATAATATACGTAAGTAAGACGTGATGTGACGGTGTGATCAAGTTTTATAATGTCAACTTTGGTGAGTACGTTCCAATTGTTTTCTTCTCCGCTGTAAAGTTGTATTTGTTAGCTTTTTGTGTAAATTTTAGAATGGCTCAAATTTTAATATTTTGTCGTGTCTACCCAATACCCTTGATCAATTATTTACCGTAACTTGAATGCCCTGCTTGGAATTACGTCAATTTTATGTTTATTTGCTAAACATCTTAATAAAATACGTATATAATTGCTCCATTTAAATGCTTTAATGGATTTAAATATTAATTTAATGCTCAAATTTTAATTTTTTTGTCAATTTTTTGACTACGTAATATTATACGTAACGCAATAATGATACAACGAAAAACGTATTCTAAATATCAAAAAAATGTATATATTTTTAATAATAGCATAATTTAAAAATAATTTGATTTTTTAAGTTAGAACAATTTAGTTTTTAGACTATATAACATGATAAATAAGTTGCTATATTTTATTTTTGAAATACAAATTAAAGGTGCCCTAAATAAAATTAATGATCTATCACAAATTTAACTGCCATAAATCTACCAAATGTGTAAAATTTACAAGTCTTTTTCAGTAGCTTTCTTTTATATTGAAAGCCTAAATCAGAGTATATGGTCTATCTACACGAAATGTCACCACATCAATCCTTGTATAATCTTTTTTTTTACCGTCTATCTTATTATCTTTATGTTATACTCTATAATAATCTGTCAAAATCAAAAGTTTCAAACTTATATCAAAAGAAAAACAAAGTTTTATTTGCGTTTGTTTTTAAGTTTTCATATTATAATAGTAATTGACCAGGAAATTTTACATTCACGTCGGTAAATAATATGAATAAGTTGAAAAACAAGGTACATTGCGAATCTCCTTGTGATTCTGACAATGATTGGACCGATTCTACCGGCGACTCAAAATACTCCGATTCGGATAGGTTGGTTAATTTATTTACGATTTATTAATTTCAGTAGTGAAAAAGTATTATTGCCC